GCATCAGTGTAAGGACTCTGATGGTGAGCATGAGAATGCCAACTGCAAGGTCGGCAGTTCAAAGCCACCAGCTGATCTAAGAGAAAGATCAGGCTGTCTGTTCCCATAAAGAGCGATAGTTGGGGCAACCCTGTGTAGGGCTGTCAGGAGTGGGAATGGATTCCATGGCACAGCTTTTGTGCGGGGAAGGGCAGATAATCTACCTGCACGGGCTCCTCAGAGGAAACAGGCAGGTATTGCTTAAGGGATACTGGGTTTCCATCAGTAATGAACACAAAAATCTAGAAACAGCCAGGGGTGATGGTAATACACATGGTGCGGGTAACAAATCCTGCTGAAACGTACAGGTGAAAATACAATGCCTTCAAAAAGTTCATGGAAATGTGATTGGGAAATAATGGAATTCTTCCACGAATTTTTGAATGTATTTCACCACAAATAAAAATACTTTAAAATTAATAATGGAAAAATAAAAAAACTGGTTCAATATGTGGGAGGGGGGATGGAGCGCCCTCTAGAATTGATAATCCAGACTGGATCGGAAAACACTTCTAAACGTCAACAAACGGACCTAGAACTATTTATAGCTGCGATTCTCAACCTATGGGTCATGAACCCTTTGAGAGTTAAACAACCCTTTCACAGGGGTTGCCAAAGACCACTGGAAAACACGTATTTCCAATGGTCTGAGGAGGGAACCAAGACACTTCTCCTCTATCCGTCTCCAGGCAGGTCCACCCACATACGAGTACCAGTGTGAAGACTGTTACCCATGCTCCACCATGCTTCAAAACAAATTTCATTTGTAATTAGAAATGAATATTTTACAATATATAATTACATATTGTTTTTGTGATTAATCACTATGCTCGAATTATGTTCAATTTGTAACAATGAAAAGACATCCTGCATAACAAATATTTACATAACAACTCATAACAGTAGCAAAATTACAGCGCTGAAGTAACAATGAAAATAATGTTATAGTTGGGGGGTCACCACAACATGAGGAGCTGTATGAAAGCGTCGCATCATTAAGAAGGTTGAGAACCACTGATGTATAGGCTTTTCTTTTTTTGTCGTTGGGTTTTTGGTTGTTTTGTTTTCTTTTGCTCTGTCTTGTTTTTGTGCTTATTATTGTTTCTGCATGTCTATCTAGATAAGATAGGTGGAACAAACAATCCAGGAGAAAACAATGGGACCTGGTTCCTGGGGACATGGGAGAGGGGGAGGCGAGAGAAAGGAAACGGTGTTAACAAACCCAGGGACAAGGGAACAAGTGATCTAAAATCAATAGCAAGGAGGGCACAGGATGCCTGGTAGGGCTGGCTTGATCAAGGGCAATGTAACCGAGAGGAATTACTAAAACCCAAATGAAGGCCTAAATGATAGTGAGACAAGAGGAAAGTAAAAGGAAATAGAGGAAAGAATTAGGAGGCAACGAACATTTATAAAGGTCTAAATACA